AGCCTTCTCAGTCCTTGTGAGTGTACACTCTGCCTTCTCAGTCCTCATGGGTGCACACTCAGCCTTCTCAGTCCTCGTGGGTGCACACTCAGCCTTCTACAGTACTACACCGTTTTCTTTTGCAGAGTAAGGACGTTGTTTTCACTGGAATAAAGGTTTTCACAGATGGTTAAATCCTTTTTCAAACACATGCTGACATATTTCTATTTATTCTTTCATAGCTGTCGTTTATTAATCAAATTTGTTTTTAAACCAATACATAAAAGCAAAAATAATACCACCAGCCCTTTGTCATTGTTAGTCATTCTTGAGAGTAGTTTCTTACTAAAATAAAATGCTGCCTCATCGTGGGTTTGGTTAACTTTCCCCATAGAAATGTTTATTGCGATTGCCCCTTTTAAATTGGGTTGTGTTTCTGTGATTGAGGTTTTTAGTTCCTTGTTCAGTCTGGATATTAACCCTTTGTCAGATGTATAGTTTGTAAAACAAACAAACAAACAAATGAATGAATAAACATAAAACATTGATAAACAAGACTCCCAGGTGTTGCTCCGTTTGTGCCTGATGCTGTCATAGACTGATAGTGATATGAGGGAATCTGAAGATTCCCTATGCAAGCAGACTATGGGTCCTGGGGTCAAACTCAGGCCACCAGGCTTGTGTGTCAAGCACTTTACTCACCGAGACATTTACCAGGATCACGCTGCCGTTCCCTTGACTGCTTGTCTTATTTTTTTAATTTTTAATTTAACATTTAGCTTTTAATTTTTCTGTTAATTTTCAGAATTTCTGTTTGTTTGTTTGTTTGTTTCTTTTCTGTTTGCTTGTTTGTTTATGGTCCAATGAATGAGATGGCTCATCAGGTAAAGGCACTTTCTCCCAAACCTGATGACCTGAGTTCAGTTCCTGGGACCCACATGGTAGGGGGAAGATATGACTCTCAAAAGTTGGCCTCCATCTTTCACATGCAAATCGTGGCACATGCAAGGAGCACACGTATTCATTCATATTCTCTCTCTTTCTCCCCCACTCCCTCCCCTTCATTCAGACTTTCTCACAAACTAAATAAATAAAAAATTAAAAATTTTTCATCTTTGTTAAGGTTCCCTCTGCTTTTACTTGAGTTTCCTCAAAACATCTCTTTAAATTCGCAGTCTGAAACGTTGCTCACACCAATTACTATGGTTACTCTCTCGTGCTTTATTTTCATGGTGGGTGAGGCTGTGATTTCCTGACAGCTCTTGGTGATGGTTGGTGACATCATCTGAGCATTGACGCTTTAGGCTCTTGTTCCAGGCTTTGCACCTTGCTTTTGCTTGTGCCTTTCTTTGGAGAAACTCTTCCCCGAGCCTCTGCAATGGCTTTTGCTATTTCAGTATTAGAGGATTGGTTCCTGCATTCACCATCAGTGCGTTGTCACAGTTCTAACACGAGAGGGCAGTCTAAGCCCATGTTTCATCCAATTCACCGGGTACATAGTTTAGCTTGAACCAAATTATAACCTAAAAAGAGTCAGCGACTCCCAAACCTTTCTGTAGATCTGGGCTTCACCTAAACACCTTATTCACAGCAACTTGCCTGTGCTCACAGAGAGACTGGTATCAGGCCCTTGGCACTCATGCTGTAAAGCTTCTTTATACGATGAACCCACAGCTCCTCAAGATAGCCCTGAAGTAACACCAAGGTCCATGATGCTAGGAGTTGTGAATGGTTGACATAGACTTATGGCCTAAGACAACTAGAACCAGCTAAAGAAGTCTGATAGAGTGGGGCCGTGTGTCTCCATTGGCACCAAGGTAGGTAAGTCTAGAGGCCATTTTGCTACCATAGGCCTGGGATTGGAAGCTTTTAAATCTTTCTCAGTGTCACGGCTGGCACTGGGTTCTAAGACTTAGTGCTGGACTAACTAACGTATCATCAGCAACTGGAATCTTACTCCACACTATGCTGGTCAAGGTTGGAGTAGTGTTGGTTAAAGTAGTTTCTAATGGCAGTTTGGGTTGTACTTAAGTCCCCGAGCTCAAAGGGCCAGTTCAGTCTCAGGTGTGAGGCTCATACCACAGCCAGAAGGGATGTGGCCAGTATGAGTCTTTCACAGTGAGGCTCAAGGTAAGTATTGCTGATGCAGGGCTAGGGCTCCATCCTTGAGCACTGGCTTGGGGATGGGCTGTGCTTAAATCTGAGGTCAGAGACTGTGCCTTGTCCACTAGGACTGACACTAAGCTGGGTCTCCCCAGAGTCTTACAGCCATAGGGATCTGTGAAATCTTAGGACATCTCAGACCAATTCTAAGGTTTAGTCTGCCCCTCTGGAGTACTGATATGTTTCAGATGGGGCATTATTGGTGACCTGTGACCTGGTTATGGGTCTTTTGATTTTTGCCAGGTGTTAGAACCCATTGTTGGAGGCTTAGTACTGAGCTCTAAGGCAAAGACCTATGCTAGCTTTCATATCCCACCAACAGGTTGAGTCTGTCTCTGCTTCTGGCTGTGGTCGGAGAGCAGAGTAGTAGTGGAGGTGGCCAGCTCCTCACTAGGGCAGACTAGCAGCTCACTTCCTGAGAACTGACCTACAGCAGGAGTTGGGGGCTCTTTCTCTTACATCTGGTTTCACTCTAGTGAGACTGATACTGGGTTTCAAGTCTATCTTAACTTCCTCCCCTCCTTCCAAGTGAGGCTAGCTTTCCCCTCAGCACTTGGAATTGACCCCTTCCTGTCTTCTTGAGCTGAGACCAGATACTGTGACATCTCACCAGAGCTGTTAGCTTCTATGAGGACAGTGTGGTGCACCACAGCTTTTCAAATTGCGATATTGGTGACGAGATGATGCCTGGAGAATTTTACCCAGCCACTCTCTTGCCATGTTGCTGTTCGCTCTTAAAAATTCATCACATTTAATAAGAAGAAATATGTAGTTTCTATTGAAATTCTGTGTTTTTTTTTTGTTGTTGAAAGGAAAATGTAGAAACATTGGATTTTATTGTGTTGCCTCAGAGGTTAATTCATTTCATTGGCATTTATTATTTTTTATTTGCATGTGCATGCTCATGTATGTGCAGGTACACATGTAGAGGTCAGAGGCCAACCTCAGGCATCTTCCTCAGTTCCTCTCCACCTGTTCATCCTCCCCAACCCTTAAAGACAGAGCCTCTCACTGAACAGCATGCTGTTTTGGCTGGCTGGATGGCCAAGGAGCCCCAGGATCTTTCTGCCCCTCCATTCCCCACCCCAACACAGAGATTGTAAAGGATGCGCCACCAACCACATCCTACATTTTACGGGAACTGGGGTTCCAACTGGGGTCCTCATACTGGTGCAGCAAGCATTGTACCCACTGAGCCACCTCCCCAGCACCTCATTGGTATTTATTCTTGAGGAAAGTGTAGAACTGGTCTAAATTCTATTCTTAGATGCCCATGTTTATCATGTCTCACTTATATCTCCACTTGGCCTCTGTCTTCATGTACTTAGCAAAGGTGAGGATAATCAGGGCGGTGTGTACCTTTCTTCTGGATTTAGAGTCTAATGTTTCAGAATCTAAGAATGATTTATGGGCCATCATTGGTTTTCTCTTCATCTCCCTTATTAGGATGTTTTATTCTTAAAGGTAGCAACTGAATCTCTTCCCATAGGCTGGGAGCCCTCCCAGGACACCACGCTGAATGCATAGTATACACTAGTGAATGAAACTGGAATAGAGTGTATCAGTGGTTCTTTTGGTCCATCAAGATGCTTGGTGGAATAGCTTAGTAGAGAAAATAGTGTTTGCCATTCGTCAAGATTTGCAATTATTAGCTTGTAAAATTCTTTATGTCTTGTAGCATGAAAGAAAAACACATGTGCTTTAAGTGTGTGTTCTGGTTCGTTTTCATCAACTTGACAGAAGCCAAGACATGTCTGGGAATAGGGAATCTTAATTAAGAACATGCTTACATCAGAATGGCCTGTAGGCAAGTCTGTGAGATATTGTCTTGATTAACGATTGATGTGGGAAGGCCCAGCCCACTATGGGCAGGGCCACTCCTGGATAGATGGTCCTAGGTTGTATAAGAAAGCAGGCCTCGCAAACCACAGGGAGTAAGCCAATAATCTACACTTCTTCTTGGGCTATGCATCAGTTACTGCCTCCAGGTTGCTGTCCTCTTTGAGTTCCTGTCATGGCTTCTTTAAACGATGGTCTGTGATTGACATATGTAAGCTAAATAAACCTTTCCTCCCCAAGTTGCTTTGGGTCATGGTGTCTTTCACAGCAATAGATAACAAAACCACCCTGTCTTATCCAAATTGTATTTTGTAATGGATTTCTTCCCACAATGCCTGTTAA